GGCGGGAGGGGCCGTCCCGGCTGGCCCGCCACTGCATCGCGCGCACCTGCACAAATCGCTGAGTCCTCGCGGCCAGAGCACCTGGCCCACCTGTCCACTGACGGGGGAGAAGAGAGCAAGGGCAGGGAGGGTGAGCGGAGGAGAGAGAAAGCAGTTCGAGGCCCCAGCCGGCAGCCTCTCTGGGCACCTGCTGCCCGCGCTGGGGGGCGGGGGGGTCCCGCGCCCGACCCTGGGGAGGAAGCTGGACCAGGGGCCCCCATCTCTTCTCTCGCACCCCGGCGTCCATTAAGAAGTCCATAAAGAGTAAAGGATCACTTGGTAACATTAATTTTTTTTTATTAAGAAGACAGATATTTTATAGTACTTTTTTTTTTCTTTTTTTTTTGTAAAAATGGTATACATGAACGAATACAAAATGCGAATGGGAACATATGGATATGGAATTTCTTACACCATAACATTGTTCATGTACACCTTCAAAACAGAACTGGCCTAAAGGGAAAAATAAGACGTCGGTGTGACTAAAGAACAAGCTTATTTGGCATCAATTATACATCCTTCATTATTTTATATTCCTTTAAAAAACACAAAAAACAAGTTTGTTCTTTCTTCACTCTAAAAAAAGTGATCAACCTGTACAAAGTAATACTCAACAATACATTTCAAACAGTGCACTGTATACTTAAGAAAAAATACATAAACCAATATACAACTAAAACCCATAATTTCCTGTTTTTGTTTTATTTATTTTTTTTCTTTTCCAATGTGTGGGGCCTACACTTTGCAATCTACCTGAGACGGAAAACACCAGTCAAAACACATGAACCTGAGACATGTCAACATTGTAAGCCATAAAGTTACATCAGGAACACTGCACTACTGTACACTTTTCAAAACAAAGATGGGAGGTCCCAAAAATGAGATGCCAATTTTGTGAGCAATGGTAGGTTTTTTTTTCCCCCTAAAAAGAACAACTGAAAAGACCTTTCAACGACATGCTAAATGGTTCTCACCCTTTGATGCGGTTATACTATGATCAGAATGGGTGCTAAGGGCTCGGAATAGAGCTGCACATTATAAAATTCATTGAAAAAGGGATGTTCGTTGTGGCTTTTTGTCTTGGTTAAGTGCCTAGGGATAGGAGGGGGGAAAACAAAATGCTGCTCAATATGGATTTTCTTTTACATATCAGTCCGTTCCCAAAAGGCCCCCATATTGCAATGGTTCTATCAAAGGTTAAAACAAAGACAAGAAAAATAAACACACTTTCAAATAACAAAGAGTTGATACTTTTTTTCCCCTTAAATAAATCAGCGTAAGTTTTCCACATAATGTAACAATAGTAAAAATGCACCTTGCAAAATCCAAAATTACTCACTGAAAATGTTATATAATATATATTTATATATATATAGATCTCTTTTTTTGATGCCATCTTTCCATAGGGACTGTATCCTGGAGTCTGGAGCCTTACCAAAACATATGGTAAGAGTTTTTAGTTTTCGTCCTTTGGGACTACTTCTAGATTTCCTAGACGTTTCAGTGAAAATCCCCACATTGTTCAAAAAAATGTAAATGGTAACTTGACTCCTCTACCTTTTCCCAAGGCTCCCCATCTAAGATGTGTTCAAGGTAACTTATTTTAGTAGCTAAGCACTATGGCTGCCATCATGCGAGGATCAGTAGTTTTTTGGCAGATGGTTCTTAAGGCTGAGGAAAGAGGCCAAGGCTAGTGTATGAAAGGTAAAAAGATAAAAACACTCACATTTGAGTTTTGATTAAGTAACTGAAAATCCCTACATGCTGTTTTTCCACCTCTGCTCTGACCTTTCGAGAACTGAGATCGACAGCAGACCAGTGTGAGAACAATACTGGCCCTCCTTTTGTACCTCCTGCCTTTGTCAAGCCAAATCTGAAGGAATGAACGTTTCACACGGATTCGAGTTGGAAATCCCAGCATGACAAATATCTGTAATATACAGTACATGCAGGCCACATCCTACTGCCTTCCTAACTAAGCACAAAGGAAAAAAAAAAAAGAAAACAAAACAAAACAAAAAACCAACCCTGTCCCATCCAGTCATTCACACGCCACGCGGACTTGCTTTTTCCTACAAATTAGTGAGAAGTATGGCCGATTGGGAAAGGCGGATGGAATCGTTTGGAACAGAAATAACCAGAGCAGAACTAGCTTTTCCCCCCCTCCCTACTTCCCCTCCTGTGGCAACTCAAATTTGTCCACTTATATAAAAGGAACAGACCTCACCTGTCAGGTCTGTTTAGGGCATTGAAAAAGGAGGAGCCCTTTCCGCCCCAAACCTTTCTGGACAGTGTGGGGTATCTATGCTGAGCCATCTACAGATACAGAATTAAAGACAGATTCAATCTCATTATGACACACCTCACTTGCAGATAACCCTGTACAGTAATGTAGTTCCACAGCAAACAGAACATTTTCTGAGTCACAGTCTAAGTTTCTAGTCTTCACTGCTCTAAGTATTTGAAACATGGGTAGCAGCAAAGAGTCCTCATTGTTTGTTCACCCAAATCTTTACGACAACAGAGAAGAATGCATTATGGACACACTAAATTCTGAACTATGAAATCTAAACTGTGCTGGTTCTCCTTTTATGAAACTGAATTTTGAACAGAAAGCAGTTACTTCAAAAATAAGCAACAACAGAAAAAGCAAAAACAACAACAGAATCAGGGGAAAAAAGATTCTAAGGAATCCCAGCAGGCAAATTCCAAAATGGGAGATTTTGGAAAAAAAAAAAAAAAATCCAAAAATTTTGGGGGAAACATAAATGCACACAAAGGAAAAAGAGAAAGAAAAAAAAAAAGGAACGCAATGAACAAACAAAAAACAAGGCACAGAATTTTCTGCAATCTACTCAAACTAAATCCAAGCATCCAAGTTTGACTTGGTAGGAAGAAATAAAACTTAAAAACAAAACAAAACAAAAAACCAACCAACCAACAAACAAAAAAAAAGAGGTGTCAAACAGCAGAATGTACTTTCAAAGAACATTTTTCTTTTTTTACACAGCAAATCCCAAGCCTTCCCAGTCTCGCACCTTTCCACCCATTCATAAAAAAACACACGAATTTCTCGCAAGTTCCAACATCACTGTCTCTTTATCATCTAAATAGGGCCAGCTGGACACCTCATTGAAACAAAAAGGCTGCTCTAGATGAAGTACTCTTTCTTCTCTTCGGAGTTGTTCTGTCCTCCTTCTGCATTGATTATAGCAGTGTCTGCGTCTGCGGCATCATCGGCTCCTTTGGCTTCATGAGTGAAGTATGTACCTGAAAGATGAAGGGGTAAAGCACCGTGACTGTCTGATGGCCTCTGTGCAAAGTGGTACAGAGATGGCAACGTGCTTTATGGCCATCATCAGCCGAAGTGGTGTGCAGGCAGCAGAGGGGAAAAAAACAATCGGAAGGAGAGAGCGAGGTGGGGGAGACAAATGGGGATCCGGGGGTTCCAAAGGCACCACTCCAACTGAACCGCTGCGATATAATTCAGCAAATGAGACATTAGAGCAGTGATTATGACCAGAGGGTGTCGGCGGAAGAAGACGTGAGTGGGAGCTAAAAATGCAGAAAGCTGGAGAGCTGTTGACTGACGTGTGGACAGTGAACGCCAGGACCAATGGCCAGAGATGTGCGCGCACATGGTTAAAGACCAAAGCAAGGAAGAGCAATTAGCCAATTAATGAATTAGGGCCCTGATGATGTTCTACTGTCGCCTCAGCTCGTTTATTTGACCCCCCCACCCCCGCCCCCGCCTCCTGTCTTCAGGAGTCATGGCTGCCTGTGCATCAGCGGGGGCCCGCACGGGCAGGTCTGACCATCTGCTGCCTCCCGCTTCAGCGTGGGGTCCCCGATCGAGAAACAGCTTGGTATCGTAGTAGTTGTTATCAAGGCTTGGGGTCTGTCTTAAGGGACAAGCGATTCTCGCTCAAGGTGTGACTCTAGCCCGGACCCGGATTCATGGATTCGCTAATTGGCACAGCCACTTGAGAATGACGACACACAGAACGCCCCGAAGTTGGAGACACTCTCATCGGTAGATGCTAACCACTTACGGGAGAGTTTATGGGGAGAGACAAGGACTGCCCCTCAGTAGGACATCTAGGTAGCGCTTACGCTGCCTACCATAACCAAACAGCCCTCCTCCCGTTATACACTGTATTCTCGAAGACTCTTAAGGAAAAATAAAAAAAAAGGCCGATACATTGGTTGTATTCTCAGGTTTTCATATGTGACAAATCTGAGCAGGCAGGCGGTCAGATGTCCCCCTCCTATCCCCTTCTTTCCTCTGGCCCCTTGTTCTCCACAGCTGCTGAGCAGACTCGGCCCTGCTCTCTGGCCTCACCTTCCCGGCTCTATCAAGCTCAGCACCAAAAGGCTGGGCGTTCTCGGCCCAATGGGCTGCCTCCTGGGCACGGGCAGAGGGTCCCCAAATGGTTTATGTGGGAGACGGGCACTGTGGGTCCTAAAGGTGGTTTCAAGTACCTTGGACCTCCATTGCTGTGCTCAAGGGACCTTCCCCAAACCCAAATCCTACGATCCAGTGGTAGGCAAGCGCCTGCGGTTAATGCTATAGGAAAATCCCACAAGCTCACAGCACAGAGCTTGAGAAAAACAGCAGAGAGACAAGGGCCGACAAAGAAAGGAAGAATAAATTACCAAGGGCGGGGGGGAGAGGACCGGAGCAGCATGGGGTACAAAGGAGGAGCATTGGAAAAGATGATTGCCCATCCAGGCTGCACAGTTGATAAGTGTGATGATTAATGGCAATTTAAATCAATTGCACAGATAATTTTTAAAAAATACATATTTATGTGGCTTTTAAAGCACATTAAACCAAGGAAGTATTCTAGCCACTGTGACCAGCTTCCCTGGAGCTTGGGGCCAGGCAGCACTGACTGTCCACCTGCTCCCCAGAAAGCAGCAGGGTATGGGCACGTTCTTTCCACATCGATCGCTTTGGGGTTCACGCCCCACCTCGCACAGCCCGGCCCCTATTTCTACAATTTTTGCTCTATCCCCAATTACGGATTGCAGAATCACACATCTAGAAAGCTTTTTGAGAAAAATCCAAATCAAGAAGCACTCCTCATCAACCCTCGGAGTTCTCATCAGCAGCTGCTTTCTGTTTTTTTTTTTTTTCTCTCCCAGTTTCGGGAAACATCGATAGGCTATGTGGCCACATAATCCCAACTGCCTATCAAGGGAAACCTTCGTCAAGTCCCCAGATGCAGGGGGGGTGGTGACGGGAGGCCTCCTGCCTGCCAGAGCACCTTGCTTACCTTTATGTCTGGCAAAATAGCGCCCCAGAATGATGAGCAAGCACAGCATGGCGAACACGACCACGGCCACGACACCGCCGATCACGGCGTGATCCACCGCTCGGATGGCGCCCTCCTCGCCTGCTCGAGAATCTGTCGGAATCAGAAAAGGAACAGGGCTGTAGAGCTCGTTACAAGACACCAGCAGCCCTGGCCACACTACCTCCAGGTCAGAGGTCACCTTCTTTTATAATGGAGGAGTCAGAGAGATCAGCCAGATGGATCAGCTTACAGCGAGGGAACAGACTGACCTGTCCAGGGCCGGATTGATCTGTTCTCCCCACAAGGCAATTTCATGACACGCAGAAGAGGAGCGCTAACGCACGGGGAGCACGCTTAGGGACCAGGGAGAGAAGAAACAGTCTGTCCGGTCCCAGCCTGGTCTTAGTGCTCACTCCGTCCGTGTCCAGCTGCAGATCCTAACGAGGAGGCCGACCTAGCTACTTAAGGGCGCTCGGGATGGCACCCTCGGGCACTGGAGGGGAGCCGACTGGAGCTTTCGGAAGCTGCCCAGCGACTTCATCCCCGCTAGGCACGTGCATAGGAAAAGGAGCTCACAAGTCACAGCTGCCTCGAGATAAAACAAGGCTTATAAGACTAAAGACAGGTGACATGCTCGCTACATTTAGGAGGTACGAGGGAGTAAGCCTCCATCTAAAACCTCAAAACCTAGTTCAAAAAAAGGCAGCAAGGACTAATTGTCCATTGCCACAGATGGGCTTTCTTTTATTTATTTAACACTTCACGAGGCGATTAATTTTCCCTTGTAAGCGTCACTCCCTCAGGATGTCTTCTTCCGACTGAGGAACGACACGTTTGGCTGGGGAACAGCTCCAGAATGGACCCAGAATGAGCTATGGTGATGCAGAATGGATGCATGGCAGTGTAAAGAATTTTAATTTAGGAATGTGGCTACATCACCCCTTGCTGAAGTCCTAATGGCACCCGAGATTTATAATGTAGTAAAAAACAATTATTCTCCCGTTGATTAATACATTAACATTTTGGAGTGGAAGCCAAACCATTGTCTTCTTTTTTATTGAGTCAAGTACGACACCTCCATTAAAATGATTTACTAGCCGTACCTTACAATTTAAGCACAGCAGCAACAGAAACGGTAAAAATCTTTTAACTTTACATGATTTGTGAAGTCATATGTGAAGGATTTACCATTTAAATCTTTCAGTACAAGAAGCACATGGCCCTATAAATCTGTCCCCCTTGCAGTTGCTGGACGCCTGAGAGAAATGCATTTCACCAAGAAGACGGAGAGTGCAAATTCAAGTCAATTTTTAAGAAAGATTTATCTCTGTCTCTCTCCAAAGAACAGAGCAAATCTCTGAAGCCTCCACCTCTAATAATATTTGAAGTTTATCGATCAAGTGTACAGATCCGTGACAGCTAAAGGTAATGGTGCTCTTTTGAGCCGAAACCTGATACAACGCTTTCAGCAGGAGGGCATGATTTACACTTTCTATCGATATTTCCAATTCTGCTCTGAGATTAAGTACTGAAGGATGTGGGGAAAGAACTAGTGACTGAGGGTTCCACGAAAAGTGCTTTAATTAAAAGAGTTTAAATTAAAAAATGAAGTATTTAAAGTGTTTCATTAAGTTACCTTTCAGAGGACTACAAAAAACCCCCAAAAATCCCAACCCAAACAGAAATGCCAAATCGGAGGTAGCAGCAGGTCGCCCAGGACAACAGGATGATGGGAGTTTAATTGGAGAAGGGAGATGGGTTGGAGGCAGAGTGCACTGCAGCCAATTAGCCCGCTCTGTGATGTGCGAGTCCCTCCAGCAACCTGTCTAATAAGCTCGACTTGAAACGTGGTGGAGACGAATCGCCCTCCTCGGCCAAAAGGGTTGCCTACTGCGGACGCAACAGCCTCTGTGTCTTGAAAGTCATCTCAACGAGGCAGAACTCTGCCGCGGAAACTTTTTCTTTTCTTTTAGAGACAACGGAGCTCGTGGGAGGGGAGCACTCCCCTCGGGGGCCCCCCCGACACAGGGTATCTGCCCGAGGAGAGCGCTTCACACCCCGGAGACTCTCGCCCAACTGCACAAAGTCAGATTCGCTGATGGGAAGACAGAGAGTTAACAGGAAAGCCAGGAAGTTGTGTTTTCCTTAGGGAGCTGTCAAAATGGGGGATCTTGTGGGAATGAAAATTAACTAATCTCCAGTTGCCATGAGCTTCAGACCTATTGAAAAAATAGGGAGTCTTTCAACTAACTCCCTGGGTCTTAGGCTTGGGTGGGGAAAACAGCGATACTAGCCGTGGAGGAGAGGGGAAAGTGAGGGGCAAGAGCTGCAGAGAGGCCCCGGCCGGGGCAGACTGAGAGCAGAGAGAAACTGCGAGAGGCCGTCCCGGTTCCAGGCACAGACCGAAATAACCCCTTCGGGGAAGGCACTCTCATGGCCGCTGTTCAAAGACCGCCTCCTCCATGCCTAGGCACAGGAATATTCTAGAAGCCAGAGAAAGCCAGAGAGACAGAGAAGCTCTGTGATCCACACCACCACCTCACGGGCCACGTATCTGCGGATTAACTTCCTTAGCCAAAACTCTTTGTTGGATCCTTGCTCCCCATAAACTTCGGGCTCAGGGTGCTCAGAGCTGCCTCCACCCCTGCACTTTGGCCACATTCACTACCTGGGTTCTTGGGATCTTCCCCGCCCTCAATTGAGGACATACACATTTTACAGATACTTATTTATAAGGCTAATCTCTCCCGCTATCTCGTGATACTCACTTGTTAAGAAAGTTTACTACCACCAGTTAATCACCAAGACATTTTTCCTGCCTTCAATTACCGCAGACGGACACAGAAGGTAACTGATGCTTAATTTACAGGGAACACTGCAGTTTGTGAGCCCCTCACCACCTCTTCCCACCCCACCCCACCCCGGGGTCACCGTCCTCTGTGAAGAGCAGCGCCCTTTCCTGCCTCAGCTCAGTCCCCGCTTTTGTTTCCATGTGTGGGGTGGGCGGGAGAGTTTTCAGAGTGCTCCCGATTGGCCCCAGGTGGTGGGGGAACGGGGTGGAAGCTGGTCACGGACTACGGGGCAGAAGGGCCTGCACCTGTGGCTGGTGCCTCGCTCAGGGCGAGAAGCAGAAGCACCAGACGTTACACCACGAGGCAGAGGGCACGTGGCTGGAGGCTGCAGGAAGTAGGGGCCACCAGGAGGAGCAGGGCTCTGACAAGGCCAGCAGCAGCCCGGCCTTTCCTGTTCTGCTCACGAAGGGAGAGCTCCCGCCAGGGCTTGAGAAAGTACCTTTCACCATCATCCAAAGACCCTGCCCCTCTTGGGGTGCAGACCTTGTCACTCTGAGGTTCCACCACCTTTCCTGGGGGGTATCCTCTCCGGATTTTTGGCTCCTTTTCTGAATCAGGCAAAGAAGGAAAGCAAAGAGCCAGACTCTACAAGCGGCCTCCAGCTTCTACACTGAAAGGACACGTGGGCATGGAAAGCACTTACACACACGCCTGGTCCTCAGGCGAATGATCGGCTCTTGGGCTCAGAAGGTCATTTTCTTGCTCTTTTAAGAAACGAGTAACAGGTGTTACTGAGAGCGCTCCTACTTCTGGGACTAAGCGGGGCCCCGTCATCCTGCAGAGGAAACGCCATGTTTCTGTTTGGTGTATTTTGCTGGCATCAAGGTTAAGCCAGCCTTGAACCAAGCACGTTTGGGTGGAGTGACGAATGTCACCCAGTCCCTTCATGTGGGACGCCGAGGACCTTCGGCCTCGTCGTGCCATCGTTCCGGGCTTCAGGGGCTCTCTCTGAGCGCTGGGAAGAGGCTGTGTGGGCTCACGGCTGTGGCACAGTCCTGCCAGGACTGTCCCCTCTTGCAGCCCTGTCCATGGACAGATCAGTCATGAGCTGCTTAGTATTCGTGAGTTGGCTTTTCTTTTGGCAAAAAGCTGGAACAACCTGGCTCCAGGTGAGAGTTTACAAGCTGCTTGCAGAATGTTAAGTTGGCGACTATGGCTTGGGTCAGAGCTTCAACCGTCCTGGGCTCGCATTAGCATCTTAGAAACTGCAAGGACAAAAACATTTCAAAGGGACTCCCCAAGAGGGATGCCCGCCGCTGCTCGGTTCTCTTTACCTTGGGCCAGGTGACCCGGCCCCCTCTATTCCTCACGGGCAACATAAAGGGGGAAGTTCTAAAGGCAGTGGTTCCCGAGGGCCTGCCAAGAAAAGTGATTGCTAGTGCCACTTCAGTCTCCTTCCCCCCACCTCCAGGGGACTCCTTTCTCTCCACTTGCTCTCCCCTCTCAAACGACTTGCCAGAACCGTTCTTCCTGCGGAGCTCCGGCAAGCACGCTGCTGGTGCTAAAACAGGGCTCTCCAACACAGCGCGGTCCCTCTGGCTACTACTTGGCCACCTGGCATGGGACGCCTCACAGAAACTGCCATACGAATGCCTTCATCGTGGATCTGTGGTAAGCCCAGAAGGCTCGGCTGCCAAAGGCAGGGCTTCATGGCTAGCTGGGGAATGGCCAGTGCATCCCGGACAAGCTCCTGGGGGACAGGGACTCTGGCAGGGGACGTCACTGAGCAGAACGCTCACGGCAACCGCGGCCTGCCCACCACGCAGCCCGGGCTGGGCTTTTCGCCAAAAGGACACCAAGTTTCCGACCTCTGAGGAGCTGAAGTATGACCCGGTTAAAACACAATACACAGTGAAAACACACAGCAGAGGGCATGACAACCACCCCGTGCTTGGCTTACCTTCCCATTGCCAAGCATCCCTGGCTCGGGCTATCTATCTCCTTGGGGAGAGCCGGATACTCCTCTAAAATCCACCTGTTTATTCTTCCCATAGGTTACAGACTACCTCAGGTCTCACCTTAGAATTAGCATTTAAAACATGGTGGAGGTTCTAACGATACTGGTCTGCTTCTCTGTCTTGGACAATTCCTACGTTCAACCCTTCTGCCATTTCTGTACCCAACGAACGACTGGAAAAAAGCTGAGATTCTTGACTTTTTGCAACAGTTCTGTCACTTGGTTTGGTTGGAGCCTTTTTCCTGGGCTGAGGGCTTGCTGGACAAGTCAGTTTAATTAACTCTCAGAATCCGTGTTTCTAA